GACCTTGTTCCTGCCTTTCTCTAGCACTGATTCTGACAAGAATAAAGTATAGTATAGTATAGTATAGTATAGTATAGTATAGTATAGTATGGTATAATATAGTAAAATTTCTCCAGTTCTATAAATGATTTTGTAATAGTATTATGCAGTTGGATAAACATCTGTCATATTGTAACCATCATCACAATCAAGATATATAGCTTTTCTACTACCCCTGAAATTCCTTTGTGTCATTTTGAAATCAACACCTATCCATAGACCCTGGTCACTGATAATATGTTGTGTTTCCCTATAGTTTTGGCTTTTCTAGAATGTCATATGAAAAGAATCATATAGTATGTGTCCTTTTGATTTTTTTTTTCATTTAGAATAATGTGTTGGAAAACTGGAGACCCATCCATGTTATTGAATTTATTGGTATCTAATTCCTTTTTGTCACTGAATAATATTCTACCATGTGGACATACAATATTTAGTCTATCCATTCTCCAGTTCGTAGATATTTGGGTTATTTCTAGTTTGGAACTGTTATGAAAAGGTCACTATAAAGAATCATGACTAAGTCTTTTTTTTCTTTTTTTCTTTCTTTTTTTGATATTTTTGAGACAGGGACTCCCTGTAGCCCCAACTGGCCTGGAACTCACTATGTAGTCCAGGCTGGCCTTGAATTCACAGAGATCCGCCTGCCTCTGCCTCCCGAGTGCTGGGATTAAAGGCATGGCCCACAATACCCAGTATGACTAAGTCTTCTTAACACTTATATCTTCTTTTCTCTGGACAAAATCCTAAGAGTGAATTGACAAAATCATAGTGTTTGTACATGTCTATCTTCATAAGTAATTTTTTTCTGTCATGTGTTCATAAAATGACTTGGCTTTTTGATACAGAAATTGTCAACACCAGCAGTGTTCCTGACCTTGAGGCCCAAGTGTCCCAGATGGAGAAAGCTCTGTCCTTGGGCAGCTTGGAGCCTGACCTGGCGGGTGAAATGATAAACCGAGTCAGCAAGCTCCTTCATTTCCCACCTGCCTTGCTAGCCCCTCTGGCTCAAAGGTATGACATAGCAAACCAAAAGGGTGTGTTCTGTGTGGTTCAGAGAATGATCTATGATAACCATGCTTTTGGTTTTGAATAAGTGACTATTATGTATAAACAAGCAAAAGAACAATGAGTAGCGGATACAGAGACACAGCAGAGAGTAAAACGTCATCAAATGAGGAGCTCAATATATCCAGCAGAGGTGACTGAACTAGCCCAATGAGAAAGCAAACAAAAGGTAATATTATCAAATCAGGGGCTTGCAAACATCCAGTAGAAACCAGCTGGCGAAGCTGAGGCAATTAACCAGAGTTCCCAACGGAGAGAGTCAGGGTTAAAAGGTTTTCTTTGTCCTCTCCATGGATGAGCTTCTTGCTTCCAGTTCCCACTGTGGGCATTTTTATATTGTGAGATAAGCAATAATAACCTGGGTCGGAAACAGTTTAACTTATAGCTGATCTCAAAAACACAATGTGTTTTTTTAATGTTATTTGTTTTTATTTTATGTGTATGAAATTATTGCTTGCATATAGGTAGGTGCAACTGTGTTGTACAATGTCATCAGAGGTCAGAAGAAGCAATGGACCCCTTGAAACTGGAGTTATGGGCGGTTGTTAGCTGCCATGTGGGTGCTGGGAATCGAAGCAGGGTCCTCTGCAAGAGCAGCCAGAGCTCTCAACCACTGAACCATCTCTCCAGCACAAGAACATAATGTTTTTAGTGTCCTTAGCTGCTGGCTGTTTTCCTTTCACCTGTGACAGAGTTAGGGAGCCAGCCTGTCCCAAGAAAAAGGGTTTTGGAGACATTTTGGAGAACATTTGAAATAAGCATGCTGGAGTCTGGGTCAGGAGGGCCCTCTTTGCTCCAAATATTCCTTGAACAAAGTTAAATAGTACATGTCAACTTCCCATTATACCGTGCATAACAGGGTGCCTTAAGTAGCTCCTCTAATGCTAAAGGTACTGCTTATGTGACTAGTGATAGTTAAGTACTTTGGCCCAAGGACTAGTAGGCTCATAATGACTCTCAAGTTGCTACCCTGTACTCAGCTTAGATGGGGGAGAGAAAAAAAGAGGGCTAATTTAAACTGTCATGTATCTTTACAGGTTACTAAAAGTAGTAGATGACATTGGCTTACAGCTGAATTTTTCAAATACGACCATCAGTCTAACATCCCCTTCTTTGGCTCTTGCCGTGATCAGAGTGAATGCCAGTAATTTCAATACAACGACCTTTGCAGCCCAAGACTCTGCAAATCTTCAGGTACAGTCTAAGTTCTTTTTTTTTTTTAATTTTTTGAGACAGGGTCTCACTATGTACCACCAGTTTACCTACAACTCACTATGTAGACCAGGCTAGCCTTGAATTCAGAGATGTACCTGCCTCTGCCTCCTGAGTGTTGGAATTAAAGTTGTGTGCCACTACAATTGACCAATCTAATTCTTATGAATTTTTTTTCTTGTATATGACTGGGGTTCCTGTTGTACTTCCTGATAGAGGTAATTCCTGATGATTGTCAAGGGTGATGTTCAACACTCAAAAGATTTAACATCTGGAGCAGTGAGGCACCATAGAATAAAAAATGGTATTTGTTTTAGGGACTGGGGATGTAGCTCAGCGGTATAAGATATGTTTTGTACGCATGAGGCCCTGGGTTCAATCCTCAACATCCAAATACATATATAATTTGGATAAAAGGTTTTTAAAATCTGAATTTGAGTCACTGGTACATCACTTGCCCAACCATGCTCATGGTCCTGGATTTGCCCAGCATAACAAAACAGTAAAAAAAAATAATAAAAAAGAAAGGTGCCATTGATGTTAGCTGCAGCAGGATGTGAGAAGTTCTTGTTGCACACGTTGTTAAACTTTTAACTGGATAATGGAAGCTGAGTGTGTGTGAGAGAAAGAGAAAGGAGAGAGAGTTTGGTATGTTGAGACATGATGGTGAGTCGCATGTTCATGAAGGGATACTAGATGAAGGCAGTTGGGAGAGATAAGCATGGAGATGATGTATCAAAACATTTCAACATTAAATTGTATTTATTTATGTATTTATTTATTTATATGTATATGAGTGTTTTTCCTGCAAGTATGTGAGTGAATCCATGTTGTACAATGCCTACAGAAGTCAGAAGAGGGTGTCAGATCCCCTGGAACTAGAGTTACAGATGATTGTGAGCCGCTATGTGGATGCTGGGAACTGAACCCAGATCCTCTGCAAGAGCAACCAGTACTTTTTTTAAAAAAATACATAATTTATTGAGAATTTCATACATGCATATAAGGTGTTTTGATCAAATCCATGCCCACTACCTCCCCTCTAACTCTTCCCATATCTTCCCATCACTTTTTCTCATAACTTCATGTACTCTTTCTTCTTCTTTGATTTCTTTATTTTCATGGGGATTTTAGCTATTCCAACATTGCCCCCTCTGAAGAGCCAACCCTAAAATCTTTTAAGGATCAGATACGATATCCCAAATACTTTTGACATTTTTGGTGTTTGGAACAGAGTATGTTGCTAAGAGGCCCAAGGGCATTTTGATTTTTAGCTAAGAAACTGGCTACTTTTCTTTGGGGTCTTTTTACCCTAACTGCCTAGTCAATTCCTACCTCCTATTCTTATCACACCATCCTCTGAAGGGCTTACCCAAATTGCCAAATGGGAATAGGGACACCGACTACTCTGGCTTCTTCCACGCTGAACAGGGACGCAGGGTGAGGCAATTGAAGACCCTCTTCAGTCGATCTATTTAAAAGGCTCCCCAGTTGCATAACTCTTGTCTCTAAGGGGAAAAGAAAGTCCTTGGATCATGAATAAGAGATGTGAAGGAGAAGTAAAGGCAAGAGTAATTAGCATTACAAGTTCTAGACGGGGAACTAGAAAAAAGTAGGAACAGGGCAATTTTCAAATGTTCATATGAGAGTCCACTGGAATTTCTTGACAAGGGCTTCCAAAAGCAGCCCTCTATTGGGCTCCTCCTCACTTTTCTTTTGTCTGCCAAGGATGGAGTGATGGATTCAGGGTTTGTTTCCAGGTACTTTGATAACTGTTGGAGTGGTTAGAATCAGTGTCAGTTTCCTCTCAAATTCTTCTAGATAGGGGGAGAAAACAAATTTATCCATCATTTTAGAACAATAGCTGGTTGTCTCCCTTAGCTACAGGTGGGCACTACAGTATTGGAGACCAAGATTTGAAGTCTTACATCTGAGTAGCACTTTCTGGTTAGGAACAAAATCATCAATGAGAAATAATTGTCTAAATAACATTTTATGAAGACTTAAGCCTAATTTCTGGGAAGTGTAATCCTTTGAACTTCTAAAGAAATATACTGATGATTTTGCTCTTTGGTTACACTTTCCTTTGGGGTGTTTAAGACCATACAGTTTGCCCAAATAAATCAGTTTATTTTTACACTTAAGGTCATTTGAGGATCTGTTCCTTAGTGGTCACATGGGCTTGGGAGGAGCTCCTGGCTCCTTTTTTTTTTTTTAAACCAGTTCCATCCATCTATGTGAAGATAAGTCAAAGGTCCTGCTCGACCATGTCTGGCTTCACTTGGTAGCATGAATGAGATGTTTCTTCTGAGTTGACCCTCCTCTTTGTAGACTAGACACTGGTTCAAGTCCATTTCGTGGGGTCTCCATGTCCTCCCTGAACAAGAGGACAGGTGATTCACCACAGTTACAGGACATTTTGAGAGATATTCCATAGTAGTCCCCTGGAACTTAGTTGACCTTAGAGGGCAAGGGGCAAAAATGTCCTTTAAGTCCCTCTGACCACATTAGTATAGGTGTCAAACTATGGCCTATAAACATCCAGTAAGGTTAGTTCCACCAGTCTGATACTTTTAATTATCATGTGCTATGTAGATAAGGCTTGGGTAAAACACTAAGTATTCTCAGTGAAGATTATGTGTATATTATTTTTGTCTCACCCTTTATATATCATAGCAAACCTACACAGACCTTCATTTCTTGCTTAGGCTTTCTCGTTTTTTCTATTTTGGAAAATATCTCCATTCCCATATCCTTTAAACATCTTTTACATTATCCTTTTCTTTTTTTAATAATCATGAGACATAATAGCATTAACAAATAAATTTTCCATCTGTTGTGAGACTTCTTTTCCTGGGGATGCTAAGCAATGCTTATTCCCTTTTAAGGTTTTAGTGTCAAGCCAATGTTTGATTAAAGTTTTACGGGGGACCAATGAATTTACTGAGCTTACTTGCCAAGATAACTGAGGGGTTGCTGAGGTGTATATATGACATGAGGGTATGCACACTGGAAAGCCTTTACCCAGCATGGGTCATGCCTTCTCTTCCTAGCCTTCCCCAGATTGCATACTTTAGTCCTCCCTGAATCCAGGAGGCCATGTGTAATTAGGGTCAATTCCATACAGTTGGCTGGGAAGATTGGCTGGATAATGTGGTGAGGGTCCAATGACCCTGTGTGGCCCTCCTTTAATGAATGAGTACAACTGTCAACAAGCCCAATTGTGATGATGTTTTGCGATCAGGCTCAGCTAAAGACGTGATGATGGTAGTTATTTTATGCAGAAGGGACTGCTGTATAGCATCATCTTATTAAAAGCACGTGGGATTTAAAAGGATTTGGTGCTAGGATCCACATATGAGGGAGAACATACGTTATTTTTCTGAGTGTGTGTTACTTCACTTAGTATAACAGTTTCTAGATCCATCCATTTATCTGCAAATTTCATTATTTCATCTTTTTTTCCTGCTGAATAGAACTCCATCGTGTCAATATACCACATTTTTGTTAACCACTCCTCAGTTGAGGGGTACTTAGGCAACCAGTACTTTTAACTGTGGAGTCATCTCTCCAGCCCCTATTTCAACATTTTAAACAAGTATTATAACTACACTATTGTGTATAATTGTGCTGAATAACCAATCCTACTTATGGTACTTTCTATCTACCCTTTAGAGGGGTTGGGACCTGGAAACACGCAAGAAAAGCCAAGTCTTGCCTTTTAATTTGCATAGACTTCATTTTATAAGCACAGTACACAGGCTCTTCCCTGAAGACTTTACCCTAACCCTTGCTCACTAACTTGGCTTGTGTGCTGCTGTGGCATTCCTGGGCTCTGTAGGCATCTCACACTCTTTTTTTATGCAGCCCTGTTTGAATCTAGCACACATGCTTATACCAGACTACAAGGCTGTGAGGCCAGCTTCATCATGCTCTTCCTCCTTTACAACCACCAAGACCAGTGTTGAGATCCAATGGAAAGGCAACCAGAGGATTATTTCACACTCTTTAACTATTCCTGTGTATCTTTAAAAATGCTTTGTTTTCCTGCTTGGAGGCTTCGTCTCCTATGTCATGTCCTTTCTTGCATTTAGTAGCAATTATAGAGACAAAGCAGAGCTGTTTTCTGGAGAATTAACACAGATCAAGCCCCTTTGGGTCTCCATGTTGAGTCGTGTTCTCCATCACCTGCTTTTACCAACTTAGACATTTTTATTGTCTCTTACTTGATCTTCAGGTTTCTCTGGACACCGAGGCTCCTGGAAATAGTATTGGTGTCATTACTCTGCCTTCATCATTAATGAGCAACTTGCCAGCTAATGACGTGGAGCTAGCTTCCAGGGTTCAGTTCAACTTTTTTGAAATGCCTGCCCTATTTCAGGTAAAGTTCTTAGTCACTGGTTTTCCTTTGGGTTTGTTTTGGAGACTGGATTTTATTCATTTTCATGAGAATGTGTTCTTAAGCCTGCTATAAGTCAAACAAATCACTGAAACTCTGCAGTCTTTATTCATAGCCTAATGATACTGGTGATGATAGTTAGCAGTAATCAATGCATCCACAGTACTCACAAATTACCAAGCACTATCCTAAGCACTCACAAACGCAGATTCTAAATCCCTACCTGGGGATTTAGATTTTATAGGTGAGACAATGGAGGTACAGAGAGGTTCAGTAGCTTGGCAGGACCTAAGGCATAAATGGCTTAATATTGTATTCACCTTTAAAATTTCATGAGGTTTGTTGTGTCGACCTATGCACTTTAGCTCAGTATTTAAAGCCATGTGGTGGAATAAGCTGTGCATCTAATTGCTGTCTCTCGGAAAAGTCCGTGTACTCCCTCACAATTCCTGACCTACACTGTAAAATAAATATGTGGGCTCAAATAGTCTTCAGTGTCCTTCTAGCTTTATAAAACTCGGATCACATTTCATTTCCCTTGTACTCTTGCTGATTCTTTGGTGTACTAGGACCCCTCTCTGGAGAACCTCTCTCTGATCAGCTATGTCATATCATCAAATGTTGCAAATGTGACCATCAAGAACTTGACAAGAAATGTGACAGTCACACTGAAGCACATCAACCCAAGCCAGGTGAGGAGAGCCACATCTGGTCTGTTTATTGAACAGGGACAGCTGGTACAGACTGTGCCCTTAGGACATGGCTTGAGATCAGAGTTGTGTGTAAGACTAAGATTGTTTAGTTACTCCATAGAATTTTGATCTGCCAGATCATCAGTCCTTGACCATGTACTTCCTGGGAACGATGGATACAGAAGTAGGCTCTTAGCTACTGCTGAATTTTAGTTTGGAAAAAACTACAGCAGGTCTGATATATCTCCAGAGAGACATCTCACCTCACACTGACCTTCAGCTGCAACCTCACTTTTCACAGTATGGTCTGCAGACCTGTGGCATCAATCTGTCACCTGAGAGGTGACTAGAATGCAAATGCTGAGGCCCAACCCCAACACACTGAGGCGGAATATGTTTCCTGTCCCCCATGCTAGAGATTGAACTCATGCTTCACCATCTAGGCAAGTGTTCTACTACTGAACAAGATGAGTGTGCTTTTTAACAAGGACTTAAGGTGACTTCTATGTACAATTGATATTTTAAGAAGCACTGATCTATATGGGGCTGATTTGCCTCTAGGAACCACATAAAATGTCTCCACAATTAAGCATAAGATTCTGAAATTAAAAATACTTCAGATTTACCCAATTGCTTTTCAGTTCAGTAAATTAACTAACCATGACATATCTTTCTGCTGCAGGATGACTTAACAGTGAGATGTGTATTCTGGGACTTGAGCAGAAATGGTATGCTCCGATCTAAACCCTCTCTAGGTCTTGAGTGAGTGAGTGCTGGAGGTGGGCAGTCACTTATGCTATGGCCTTTCTGGTGGGACAGATACTGTTCTTGATTCCAACAGGTGGCAGAGGAGGCTGGTCATCGAATGGGTGCTCTGTCAAAGACAGGAAGCTAAATGAAACCATCTGCACTTGCAACCACCTTACAAGCTTTGGTGTCCTATTGGTAAGATGCTCGTGCTCTATGGCCTTATATTCTAGGTCTAAGGGACAGCTGGACATTATATCAGAATATCTACTCTACTTGATGACTGAGATAAACAGAAAGTATGGTATTATGGAAAAGTTTTATACCAATGAAGCCATTCTTCTAATAACCAAATGCATCTAAAGAAAAATATTTGAAGTATTTCTTCACATTCCAGTTTTTAAAAATATTTTATTTATTATTTCTATATTATTGTATGAGTATATTATCTGCATGTATGTAAGTGTACCCATATTGTGCAATGCCCATGGAGGTCAGAAAAGGACGTCAGATCCCCTGGAACTGGAGTTACAGATAGTTGTTACCCACCATGTCGGTGCTGGGAACCAAACCCAGGTCCTTCACAAGAACAGCTAGTGCTTTTAACTGCTGAGCAATCTCTCCATCCAACACATTCTGGTTTTATGTTTATGTTCTAAATAGTTAAGAAGACCAAGGAATTCAGATTAGAATGAGAAATGAAAATTATGTAGCTGTCAATGCATTAAATTTTTTTTAAACACTTTGACAGAAATAATTTTTGAGGGATGCTGGAGATAGAACCCAAGGCTTTTTCAATGCTAGGCTCATGCTCTATTACTAAGCCACATCCACATCCTTAAATGATCTTATTAAATCTTCCCAACAGTCCTTCAAGATGGGCATGGTTATTGTCATTTTATTGAAATTAGAATTAAGACTTGTGCTAATTATCCATAGTCATAGAACTAGGAAATGTAAAAAGCTAAATGCCAGCCTTTAGAGGCTTCTAGTCTAGGGGTTTTCCCATACAATATAATTCAGGGATCAAGCATATGAGCTTTGTAGTCAGGCTGACTTGAATTTGAACTTGGATTCATCTACTTCCTGGCTGTATGACCGTTAGGCAAGTTACTGAAGCATCAGTTTCCTTATTTCTACCTGATGGTAGTGTTTGTGCCTACCTCATAGGTTAGTTGAACAGACTTTCAGGAATATGAATGGATACTTAACACATTCAATAAACATAAATCGTAATTCTTATTTACTTAAAAATATTTGATAATTGAAAGCAATATTTTATTTCCCAGGACCTATCTCGAACATCCTTACCACCAAGTCAAATGATGGCTCTGACGTTTATCACGTATATTGGCTGCGGGCTTTCATCAATTTTTCTGTCAGTTACTCTTGTAACCTACATAGCCTTTGAGTGAGTATCCACACTGGAAATTCAGTCTATAAGACTCAGTGCTTACCTCCATCCCCAAAATGTATGACTTAAAAACCCTTTCCTTGGCCTGACCTGGCCTAGCCTGACCTTTACACCCACCTGGTCTAGGTGTAAAACATTATGAGGCTTCTTGGTTCATAAGCTTCTGCCTTCCACTAGTCTGTGAATTCAGTAAAGGCAAGGACTGTGTCATGAGCATCCTTGTATCTCATGAGGCTATCTGGTACATCATCGCCATTCATTGTGAAATGAAAGAGACGGACTAACCTCCAAGAGGTTACAGTCTGAAAGAAACCATAGCACCATGTATGGCAAAGATTTATTCATAGATTCAGTTTCTAAATTATACTGAGCAAATGTAAAATACTAAATATATTAACTGGTATAGGGATAAAGAATAAGAGTATAAAAACTTCACTGAAAAAATTAATCACAAAATGTGACCTTATAAGTCAAAGTAGGGGATGGCAGTACAAATAACAGCATCTCCTTGGCTCACCAGAAGAGTTCCTCTGGTCATCTTTATGGGAAAATCTAACATATCCTATTGGAAAAGAAGGAAATAAGCATTCTTATTGTATCAACTGCATGAGACAATATGTACGTTCTGAGATTTCAATTTTGGACACTAATCAAGAAATGTAGAATTTATCTTCAATGCTAAACTTAGAGTCCAGATGTTACTTCAGATCTTGTAGTGGACTTTTGGAAATATTATTAGTGAGACTAAATTACCATAAGGCCAGCCATTACTCAGAATGAGTTCACCAGACCTAATTTCGCACACATAAACATGTACATGTCATCAATTAGCTGCATTTTCCCACGTCATATATTTAGCTGTAGTTTAAAATCTTCCTTCCATGATCTCATTTTAATTAATATTATAAGATAATATAGGAAGTTGACCATAATTTGAAGATCTGAACCTAGCAGCTCATGTGAGAAGCTGTAACAATACTTCCAGAAGTAGTTCAGGAAACATGAAGAAGCTGCTCAATAGTGTTGACTACAAGCTATTTAAAAGTGTGGGTCAGCATGTGAAATATCCCACAGAAATAGATATAAATTTTCCATGCGCGTCATAGGTGCTTGTATTAGTCACTTTCCTGTTGCTGTGATAAAATACCCGACTAAAGCAACTTAAGAAAGGAAAGGTTTATTTTGGCTCATAATTTGAAGATTCTGTCTATGATCACGTCAGAGACCTCACAGCAGCAGGACCTTGAGGCAGCTGGTCACAATGCATCCAGAGTCAAGGAGCAGAAAGTGATGAATACTGGTGCTCAGCCCATTTTCTCCTTTTTATTCAGTTTAGGACTCAGCTCATAGAATAATGACACCCACTTTCAGGGTGGGTCCTCCCACTTCAGTTAACCTAATCTAGATAATCCTGCACAGGCATGCCCACAGGCTAATCTAATCTTGATAGAGGTGTGCTCAGAGGCTTGCTTCTCCTGTGATTCTAGATTTTGTTGACAATCAATACTAACTAGCACAATGCTTCAGTTTAGATTTTTCCTTTGTTGTTGGTTATACTGTTCCCCATACACTCACCTACTCCAAGAGAGGCAATCTATGCGTATTGACATATACCAGTGAATAAAAATAAATTGCTTGAAACTCAGAGACAGCCTGAGAAATATCTATCCAAGGTTTGGCAGAGTATAATGCTAATTCTTTTCTTGCCTTTTCTTTTTAGAAAGATCCGGAGGGATTATCCTTCCAAAATCCTCATCCAACTGTGTGCTGCCCTGCTGCTGTTGAACCTGGTCTTCCTCCTAGACTCATGGATTGCTCTGTATAACACCCGAAGCTTCTGCATCTCAGTGGCTGTATTTCTTCACTATTTTCTCTTAGTCTCATTCACATGGATGGGTCTGGAAGCATTCCATATGTACCTGGCACTTGTCAAGGTGTTTAATACTTACATCAGAAAGTACATTCTTAAATCCTGCATTGTTGGCTGGGGTATGTATAAATTTGCTTGCACGTTGCCTGAACTTTTTCTCCAGTGTTCTGACTTTTAATCAGGTAGAGACATGATGAATTAGATCCCATTTGGCAACTTTCTAAGACAGCTTTGTACTATTGACAGGCTGCACTGTCTCCAGAACAATCTCATTGACCCAATGACCATTTTACAAAGCTCCAGTTCTGTTTCCATTAAGTTCATTTGGCTCCTGGTGGTACCAGTGAATTTGGTTCTGCTCTCTTGAACAAAAAATAATAAACTGATACCTCTTCATCCTGAGCGTCCTCTAGATAACCCTTGACAAGTACTGTAATACTCTATTTTTAAATCCAATTTCACATAAGTCACCTCATTAAAGACAAGCCAATGAGGTTAGTAAAGCAGTTTTTGGCAGCACCCAGAAGACCCTGACTCTAAGCGATGGTGTGATTTAACCCTATTTCACATGCCTAGAAAACAACCCAGCCTGGCTCTCTGATTCCTTTTGTATGTCCTTTCCATGGAATCCCAGCTATCATCACCCCCCTACATTCCCTCCTCTTCTTCATCCTAAACAATCCCTCCTGCACAATAGGAATGCAAGCCCCTTGCTACTTGTCACCCTGTCTGTCACAACAATTTTGTGAATAATAACAAAACACCTTTCCCCTCACTTGTCCCAGAAATAAAGTCACTGTTCCAGGTAATGGACAGGAATTTCATCTTCTTTAGAGAAGGCTGAAAGGCCAGATGCTCTTGTCAAGCACAAGTTCCATTACTTATGTATGTATGTATGTATGTATGTATGTATGTATGTATGTATGTATGTATGTCTTTGGCACTGAGGATGAAACCTAGGGCCCTGCACATGGTAGGTAAGCACTCTGACACTGATCTATAACCTCTGGCCTTCAGTATTTTATTTTTAGAAGAATGTCTCACTTAGGAAACTATCACAAGAGAGTATCATTAGATAATACAAATGAATTAAATGAAATAATATATTTGATTGTACCAGGCACTCCAGCTACTTTATAAAGGGAAGTGTTGTTGTTGTTGTTGTTGCTGCTGCTGCTGCTGCTGCTGCTGCTGCTGCTGCTGTTGCTCTTTACCTGAGCCTTGAGATTGGCTGCCTGGCTGGCTGGTCTGTGTGTAGCAAGTGGCATGGGACTAGTGGGTGATGGCATGGCAAGATAAGAAGCATTCTTTCCTAGCCAAAATCCGTTTTCAACTATCAAGAGCCCTCTTATTGTGCCTCCTTTTAACAGAAGTATTTATGTGCCCTTGACAAATCTAATATAGTAGCAGTCATCAACCTAAGTCAGAGAGGACAGGCTTCTTCTTTCATCCTTGGATTCCAGATAATCAGTTGGAAACTTTTAGTTTTATAATGGAAGATTCATCAAGAGTTGATTACTCTTTTTAAAATATTTTATTTATTATTTTTATTTTATGTATATGAGTGTGTTGCCTGCTTGTATGTAAGTGCACCTATGTCATGCAATGCCCATGGAGGTCAAAAGAGGGCGTCAGATTCCCCTGGAAGTGAAGTTATAAACAGTTGTTACCTGCCATGTTGGGTGCTGGGAATTGAACCCTGGTCCTCTGCAAAAGTAGTCAGTGCTCCTAACCGCTGAGCTGTCTCTCCAGCCCCCAGGAGTTGGTTACTCTTAAATTTACATTCCAGACATGTGGAAGTTAACAGGGACACTAGCCACTATAAAAGATAAGCCTTGAGTCCTCAGTGCATCATTTTTCACTCTTATATGGCCCAGTTGAAGGGAATGAAAATGTCTCTACAGCTATTTATGAATCCTAGTTGAAAGACTTTGTCTCAAGATGGAGCTTCCACAGTTGCTCTGAGTGTGGGGAAAAAGGGAAAGCGGAGGACTTCACAGGCAGTTACTAGGGGGCAGGCCCAGAGTGGAACAAATCACTTCTGCCTATAGCCTGCTCAAAATTTAGTCCTGTGACCATGCACATCTGATTGCCACAGAGGCTAGGAGCATCCACCCATGTGTCAAAAATGAAAAGAAATTGATTTAGTAAATAGCTAACTGGTCTCTGCCATGCCACAGTAAGTAAAATAGAATGATCTCTAGTCTTTCTTTGCCATTTTTCAAAGCAATGTGTGACGGATGTTTCCCATCTTCCAGGGGTACCAGCTGTGGTTGTGACTATCATCCTGACTATATCCCCAGATAATTATGGGATTGGATCATATGGGAAATTCCCCAACGGCACACCAGATGACTTGTGAGTACAAAGTCATCTGGGGGAATGTTTAGAGAACTGGAAAATTAAATTCTCCGAGAAAACAGAAGATCTAATCAGTCTGTTGACTACAGCTCCCATCTTAATAAAATCTAAATTCATATTTAACAAGAGCCTTCACCATTATGGGTAATGGATTAGCTAGTTGGAATTGGTATGTTACTATTTAAATAATGAATTTGGAGGAAATATTAAGAGAGAATATACAAATTAGGAGGAACTATACTAAGACTATTAGCCTCTGACAGAAATGAAATACCTATGACATTATATTAATAAAGTTTAAAGACTACAGTTTACAGTTACAGTTACAGTTGTAACTAGAGTTCATAAGAGTGAAGTTCTGAATGTTTTGTGAAAAATAGTTTTAAAATATTTTTAAAAAATATTTATGTTGGGGGCTGGAGAGATGGTTCAGCAGTTAAGAGCACTGGCTACTCTTGCAGAGGATTTGGGTTCAATTCCCAGTACCCACATAGCAGCTAACAACTATCCCTAAAGTCTAGTTCCAGGGGATTTGATGCCTTCTTCCTACCTCAGCAGGCATTGTACTACACAGATGCACTTACATACATGCAGGCAATACACTCATACACATAAAACAAATTATGTGTATGTATGTATGTATATGCTATATGTGTGTGGGTGCCTGTGGAGGCCAGAAGAGGGTGTAGATTCCCTTGAACTGGAGTTACAGGTGGTTATGAGCCACCTGCCAGGGTCCTAGGAACCAACTCAGGTCCTCTGAATGAGCCGAAAGTGTTCTTAACCACTGAGTAATCTCTCCAGCCCCTGAAATGCTTTTCTTTACCGTGTCATAAAATAAACTCTTAAGATTATGTTCCCTAGAGCTATAAATGATTGTTGAGACGAGTAATTTTATCATTGTTTTTCCTTTACACTTGTAGAAAAGGTTTCAGCAGAACGTTATAGGTTCAATGTGGCGCTTGGAACATTATTTCATCATAATATTTTCTCTCTCTTTCTCCCCCCTTCCAATCCAGTTGCTGGATCAACAGCAATGCAGTATTCTATATCACAGTTGTGGGATATTTCTGTGTGATATTTTTACTGAATGTCAGCATGTTCATTGTCGTCTTGGTTCAGCTTTGTCGAATTAAAAAGAAGAAGCAACTGGGAGCCCAGCGCAAAACTAGTATTCAAGACCTCAGGAGTATTTCCGGCCTCACATTTTTACTAGGAATTACTTGGGGCTTTGCCTTCTTTGCCTGGGGACCAGTTAATGTCACCTTCATGTATCTCTTTGCCATCTTTAACACCTTACAAGGTAAGCTTTACAGCATTAAGTAGGAACCAAAAGAGCCAAGTTGAAAATAAAAATATCACTACTAGAAGAATATCCACAAAGTAGCTTATTTAGTGGCCTAAGATATGTTCATCTCAGAACCACTTTATTGCTGAGAATAGGAGCTTTGGGAACCTTAGAAGAAAGGCATTTTGCTAATTTTGTGAAAAGGCTATTTTTCCTTTTATTCACCCTCATCACCTTGGAGAGATCCTATTGAGAAGAACCTGCCAGGAACTCTTTCTGAGAGAACCAATTACTCCGCCCTTGCTTGCTTCTTTCCCTTTTAAATTTTTTTAGAAAACTAATTTATTAAAGCAGAACCTGCACACAAAAAAGCCCAGATACCATAAATATTACTGTGAGGGCTCACCAGTCAGACCTAGGGTTTAGGTTTGAGTTTTTTAAAATTTGGAGATATGAAATGATAAATGGGAAGGTAATAAACAAACACAAGTGGCAGCAATCTTGCCCAGGTCTAATCTTTAGAAGTTGCCAAGCTGCCAGGGGCAGGCTCTAAGAGTCCCCTTGACTTCTGAGCTTTCCATATGTTAATAAATCCCAGCCTTGTTTTGGAATCCTAGCAGTTGTATTCCTTAGAAAAGCAAATGACTAAATCTTTTGGAACAGTGTTATAAAAATCTCGTCAGCTGTTAATTTTTAATGGAAGGGCTTTGGCATTAAAAGCCCAGCAGGCTAATAGGTTTACATTACAGTAACAATAATGCATTGTCTCTTGGCTTCCTCATATTCCAACTAATTTCTATTGCATTCTCCCCTGCTTGTTTTCCTGTTGCTTTTGGCTCCTATGCTGTCCTCCTGCAGTCCCATCAAGTAACTGGTAATTTTGCCGATTTTCAAAGAAATCCCACCCAGAGATGAAATTCAGATAACGGATTTGGCCATGGGTTCTTATTTTATTTTTAAAAAGCCATCATACACACACACACACACACACACACACACACACGCACACACACACGTTCTTTTAATTTTGGCTGTGAGGATCCCTGAGTATCCTTCTCTAATGCATGTTGTTTCCCCTTTATGCAAACAAGGATGGTTTCCCAGGATGGCTTTGGGCAAAGATGTACAATATCCACCTATCAGTCTTGAGGATGTTTGTATGTACCCCATTAGAAGCAAATAAAGTGTTTTTTAAAGTATGAGGGAGAGAGAGCAGAATTCATCCATACGTTCATCAAATAGTTACTGTCAAAAATCTTGGGGTCTTGACAGAGACAAGGCTGTGTCGTAAGCCCAGGCCTGCATAATTGGAGACAAAAGCAAAAAGAAGCAAGTTCTAAGAGCCTTTCAAATCTGTAGCTTGCTCTCTCAGGTGGAGCATCAGGGGAGAATTTCCTTGAGCCTTGGAGGGAGGCAGGAAAGTAGTAAATAAGTTAAATCCATACACTCCCCAGGCTTGGTGCCCAGAACAGAAAGCCCAAAGGGCCCAAGCAAGGGACCTGGCAGTGGGCAGGAACACAGGAAAGAGGCTTGTGAGATTGTGGAGGAGATGACATCTGACATAAACTGGAACTAGATTGTGAATCCAGAGTGGGAGAAGTGGGAGCTAAGGTCTCAGCTAGAATCCTGGGTAGATAGCTTGTGATACCAAGACAGGACCTGAGAACAGAGATAGGAAATTTAACTTTGGAAATGTAAAGTTGCCATTCCTTTGAAAAGTACTTTTTAATTCTACAAAGATTTTTTAAAAGTTCTGGACCTAGACATTTTATTTAATTTACAAAATTTCAGTTTGTACTCAGTTGCCAAAGATTTTATTTTTTATGTAAAGTAATGCATGATATTCAGGTCTTATTTGGAATTCATTCTATAATAGTTTGGGATTTTTCTCCCCCTTTTAGGATTCTTCATATTCATCTTTTACTGTGTGGCAAAAGAGAATGTCAGGAAGCAATGGAGACGGTATCTTTGCTGTGGAAAGTTACGGCTGGCTGAAAATTCTGGTAAAGATTTACCTTCATTTTTTTTCTTCCCTTAAATCTCAAGAAAATAAACGTGTACATTAAGATGAAAGCAATGATTGCCAAGGGGGCCATCAGATCTGGGCATCGGTGAACAGAACCTGTACAACAGAAAATGTTTAGGAGGTAAAAAGCAAAAACAACCTAGTGAACTAAAAAGAATTATTTCTACCTGGGAATTTTGTGAACAATAAAATGAATGGCCCAACTGCTTCTTGAATGAGGCAACGGTGAAATTTTTAGTTTATTTCCCATTGATCTCATGTTTTTCATTTCCAGAGTCATTTTTAATATTTTCCTTCATAAGTTTTTAAGGCTTGACTCACCCCGTTCTCCACAGGTCCTGGTTGTCAGTGGCTTTATTTGTTAGCTGGCCAGACCTTGACATGTATTTGGTTATTTTGAGGTTCTTTTCACATATGCTCTGTTGGCTAGTAGAGCAAATAGTATCGTGTCAACAAAACAAAACAAAACAAAACAAAACAAAACAATGAAGTCTTTTTTGAAAAAGCTCAATTCATTCTGCATGAATACCACCTTTCAGTACCTGAGGGATACTGGGGTCTGTCTTAAGAAGATGGCAGTACATATAGGTCAGTCATTTCTTTGGATTCAAGAACAATTATTCACCATGCACAGTAGATCTGTGTTCTTGTTAAGAGAGCAAGAGGCTCTGGATATTTCCATGGATATTTCCAGACAATCAAGTTAGCTGGCTTTTGGTTCCAGGAGACTAGAATTCCTTTTTAACGAGACAGTCATTTAAAGAGCAACTGCATATAGTGTAAGTGAAGATACCTTTTATCACACTAACTTGTAAAAGGTATGACTTCTCTATAAGATCTTAAAGTGAGAATTCAATTACTAGAACTTATTACACTGTAATCTATCTCTTGCATTTGAGCTTCAACATACCGCCCTGTTTTTCTGTAATGCTTATTCTGCTGTAGACTGGAGTAAAACTGCTACTAATGGTTTAAAGAAGCAGACTGTAAACCAAGGAGTATCCAGTTCTTCAAATTCCTTACAGTCAAGCAGTAACTCCACTAACTCCACCACACTACTAGTGAATAATGATTACTCAGTGCACGCAAGCGGGAATGGTATGTATGTCTGTCTCAATATAGTATTTCTCAAGCCAGTGTTGATTTTTTACGAAGTTTTATTCTTTAGTGGCAATTTTTTGGCAAAGCAAAATGAATAACTACATAGATGACCAGTGGATCAAAACAGTTTCCCTGATAAGCCAGAAATTTATGAATCCAAATTTATTTATTTTAGAGCAAATATCAAGTGACTTTTTTTCATAATGGGAATTGACAATAACCTTAAAGTTTTTACGTTCATATCCTAATTTAAATATTACCCAAGGACCTCAGTACTGTGTTATTTCTGTAAGAGCAGTACCTAAATTACTAAACGAGATGACTTTTTATGATACCTATAATCTTTAGCACTTTGAAACCTTCCTGTTTATCGTTTTTTGTGTTTGTTAATCCTTTCCCATGATGTGGCTGCCTTGACAGCACTCAAATCCCCATGGATATATTAGATCCTGGAAGATGAATTCTGAGCAGTATTGGTGACCATACACACCACCAATATATTAGCAGATTATAAATGCAGCTGTGCTGCTTTCGTTCATTGACTCTGAAGTCTCTAGCTAAAATACATTACAGTTTCCTTCTTTCATAAGCCTGGGCTGTTCATTACTCATAAAAGCTTGTCTTACTTATTTTTTCTTTCTTCTGCTCAGTATATCTTTTGCATTTTATTAAAAACTTTGGTCATGTCAGTATATTTTCACCTTCCATAGACAATTAGCATTCATTGCTTTAAGATATTGGTTCTTGGGGTGGGAAAGATAGCACAGTGGTTAAGAGTACTGATTGCTCTCAACAGAGAATCCCAGCTCGATTCCCAGCACCCACACGGCAGCCAACAACCATCTGAAACTCCAGTTCCAGAGGATCTGACTCGCTCTTCTGACTTCTGTGGGCATTGCATGACACAGGTGCACTTACATACATGCAGGCAGGCAATACACTCATACACATAAAAAATAATAAATAAAATATTTTTAAAAATATATTAGTTTTTTCCATTACTAATTCAAATAAATCTGTGATAAGGTTCATCTATCTACCAAATAGCTTCTCAGTCTCATAAGGGTAGGGGCTTTTGATAGACTGGCTTAAAAATACATTGGAGTGGGGGCTGGAGATGGTTCAGTGGTTAAGAACCCATAGTACTCTTACAGAAGATCTGGGTTTGATTCCCAGCATATCAAGTGACACTCAACTGCACGTAACTCCAGCACCAGAGGATCTGACACCCTCTTCTTGATGCTGAGGGCACCTGCAGTCATATGTACACACACACACACACACACACACACGCACGCACGCACGCACGCACGCACGCACGCACGTGCCTTGAAATCAAGGATTTTCGACCTCAGGCACAGGTGAAATTTGGGGCTTGATATTCTTTTTGGAGAATTGCAGGATGTTGAACAAAATCCCTGGCCTCTCTCCCCAGTAGTCAGTAATGCCCTTCCCGTTCCAAGATGCAACAACCAAAAATGCCCACAGATACTGCCAATTATCCCCTGGGGGACAGAGAATAAATTGTCCTTGTTTGAGAACCCTTGCTATGAAAGGTAAGAAACCGCTGCCATATGGCCTTAGATCCTCACTGTTAATACCAGGAGTAAAGCTCTGCACACTATGCCAACTTCCATATCACAAATGATTCATATAAATCCATGGAGTATAGGCAAGGAGACGAAGGCTGGTTAATAAGTTAGAGCGAAATTGAAAGGAGAGAAATTGAGGGAGCTGGGTCATCCTGGAACCTTAGAGTCACCCGTGTTTGGTGTTCTTGACCCATAACTAGATTTTACCATATTCTGGAAAGAGCTCAGAGATGAATCTTCACCTGCTTAATCCTACCAAGAACGTTGTCACTCTTCAGGGAATCGGATTTTACAGAAGCAGCCCATTTTGACACAGCTATTTGACACATCTATTTCAATTTCTAACAGAAAGGGGGTGTATTTTACAGCAGCCAGGATGGCTAAATGTTTCAAAAAGGATAATATGCCTGTCAGATGAACATCCCTGACTTGGCAGTCCTCACACCAGATGGGGAATGGAACTGGGACTTTGAAAAAAGAAACTGGCAGCTGAGTGGTTTATTATACCGGGACAAATTGTTCCTGCAACCAAAATGTCCTCAAACCAAAATGCCTAAGTCAGAACAGCTGTCTCAGCCAGCACATGCCCTATTTGAGCTGTGGCACAGATGGAGCTGTGCTAACCATATCCACCACGTCGTTTGCGTGAATATGACATGTTTCGGTTCTCAACTTAGAGTCATATAATTCAGTATACAGGCCACAAGCTCACACTTTGGAAGCAACCTCCTCACGTGTTGACTCCATTTCTAAGCCATGGAAACTCAGACAGAGCACTTCATTTCTACAACCTTTTTTTAATCATCTGTGAAATGGGGATAATAAATAATGCTCATCTCTTAGCACTATAAATGAGATATTTATTATGTCTTCAGGACTACTATAATCATTACTATAATTATATCATCAAACAACCAATGGACTTATTCAGATTTGTATATAGCCTCTCAATGGTTCAGAAGGATGGTGCTGAGTAGCTAAAAGCTCTCAGGAGCTGTCTCCTCAGGATCCAAAGTGCTGTGAGTGGTAGGGGAGGCTCAGGTTCAAACCACAGGTGCCACTGATTATACACCCAGCTATTCCCTGGCTGGATTCTTAGTTTGGAATCCAAAATCTGGGAGTTTGTCCTATCAGAAGATCAGAGGGCTGAATTAGAAATTGTTAGAGAAAGATGATTTCTTCATGCCACAATTATTTGTAGCCAGTTGGTTTGGGTTTCCCTCCTAATGAAAAACTTCATTTCATAGGAATCATAGGGAATCAGAGACCTTTAAAAGTACCTATGGGGATCTCTGTCAATCTTAAATATTATTGTAGGTTATCTCATACATAGCTTAATTCAATATGTTCAGTGGTGTTAGTCAAAGGGCCTTTTAAAATAAAATATCTTCCTTTGCTTCATATTTTGAACATTTCACTTAAGGAAAATACTGCCATAGGAAACTGGTCCTGATTGATCTCCAATTTGGTGTGCTCACTTTCACTAACTTTAGAGAAAGAATGGCAAATAAAATATAAATACATATCAAATATATTTTAAAAGATTCATTTCATGTGTGCCTATTTTAAATGAAAGAGTGGTTGATGTTTCCTTGGTTTCCAAAGCAGAAATGTGGATACTTCATGACACCAACTTTGATTTTCCTTATCCAGGCAATGTGTCTATAGAGAGGAGCGGGGTTTCTTTCAGCGTTCAGAATGGAGATGTGTGCCTTCATGATCTCACTGCAAAACAGCATGTGTTTAATGACCAGGAAGATTCCTGCAATGGTAAAAGATGGATGGCACTCAGAAGGACTTCAAGACGAGGAAGATTACACTTTATTTAGCAAATGTAATTCTCTTTTTCTAAAATTGAAGCATGATGCTTGATGGTGTGAAATTTCCAATTTTACCTTAGACACAATGTGAGATTATGAGAATCAACTTGTTTTATACTCAGCAACTTCTGACGGAACAAGCTAATTGAGGGCAATGGTTACGGCAATGGTTACTATTGGAAGGAGGAACCAAGACATAATTATGGTCTTTAGACCTTTATAATTTGGTTTCTTTTCTTTCATTTAAATAAAGATTGGTGTTTAAAAAGACACAGAAAAAGATTTAGGAAAAGAAAAAAAAAGAAAGTTCATTTCCAGTTCTATTTTAAAGAGGCTATTATCCTTGATAACATCCTAGGGAAAAAAACTGTTGACTTCAGTCTGTTGGTGATTTTAGTTGTGCATGCCTTTATTGTATATAAGCTAAATTCTAGTGACCCCACACACACCAAAAATCTTACTACTACCTTTTTATATTTATTTTCTACTTTGTAAGTTTATTCTTTTGTAGAATCATGGTTTTGTTGTTTTGTCTAATGTGATAACTTGCTGATTCGGTGAACTTTAAAGCTCCTTTTGGAGATTTTATGGGATGTGAAATATAGAAACGTCACTGAAATCAAGAAGCAATGATGACACCAGACTGGAAAAATATAGGCAGATAGTTTCACAATGATCTCATAGAGTGTTTTTGAGCAAGCCTAAAAAGGTGCCCCACTGGACAAACACAGCTTTATGAGCTCATGGTTTGGCAAACAGTAGGTGCCATAGTTTAGCCCTGATAACCCTCTTGGGTACATCCTTATGCAGGTTATGACCTGTGTGACCAATACCCATTCCCAGACTTCATCCCTAATGATCAGATGATAGAATCTGCATTAAGATGCTTAGTTTAATATCATGATCACAGAGAAGGAAAAAACTGTAATCTAGACCATATGTCAGGAAGATTGTGAATGTGGAAAAGATATACACTGCCACTTCTCAAATCCCCAGAGCCTTTCAGAAGAGGGGAGTAGAGTAGGATTACTTTTCAAAAGATTGTATATATGGTAAACAAATTAGTTCTTTAAAAGACAACTGCATGGTACATTATTACAACTGGTACATTCTGACACAGCCACATTTATACTTGTTTTTTAAACATGTCACATCTTGAAGAATGTATAGTGACAAAGGGGAGCAGCTACTGAGAGTGGTGAACTAGCCTGTGATGCTGTTGTTTGTATATGTATCTAACTCTGATTGTTTCTAGTTATGGAGGGTCTATCCTGCTTACCACCTATACCTGCTTGAGTGGTGCCTCAAGTATGCTCTTATTAAGATTTCAAAACCCTTTGGTTAGGTCTTTCACTAAGGCTCCCTTGCATATATCTCAAATGAATGTTGTACCCCAGACTAACCATAGTAATAATACACGTTTCTGTGTGTGCTGATTTGTCTTTGCAATATTTCTTCTCTGAATTATTTAATTATTTTGTATTTATATGTTAAAATCAAAAAGTGTTCAAATCAATGAAATAAATTTTCAGTTAATTCCTTTGAATTTGGTGAACTGTCATGGAGAGAAAGTATTTGTGTTCTCTTTCCCTGGCAGCATGGCATAGAAGTGGAAGGGCACGCCTGATGAAGATTTGGACTGTGAAATTAGAAAAGGGGTTGGCTTGCTTCATGGGAGAGTTTCCAAGGGTTCTTTTCCAATTTCCAAAGTTTATTCTTCAGGGGCTGGAGAGATGGCTCAGTGCTTGAGATCACTTTGGTCTCTCTTGCAGAGGACCTGGATTTGGTCCCCAGGACCCACATTGTGGTTCACAACTGTCTGCAACTCCAGTTCCATGAGATCCGGCGCCCTCTTCTGGCCTCCGTGGGCATTGAATGCATGTGCTCTTACACATTTGTAGGCAAATACTCATAAAATAAAATAATTAACATTAAAATTTTTTAAGGGGCTGAAGAGATGGCTCAGTGGTTGCTCTCGCAGAGGACCCAGGTTCAATTCCTAGCACCCACATGATGACTAACAACCATCCATAACTCCAGTTCCAGGGGATCCAATGCCTTCATCTGACCTCTGAAGTCATTCCACAACATGGGGTATACTTACATGATGCAGGCAAAACACTCATACACATAAATACATAATTTTTTTTTACAAGCTTACTCTTTAACATATGTTGCCGTTGGCCCATAGGCAGTATGTGAAACCCAATTCAGATCCCATCTAAATGTCTACTTCCTCAGCTTCAAGCAGCAGGATTTCAGGAAAGTGAAGACAGGACTTAAGGGACTTTGAGTTGCTAGTTAGCATGTGAAAGTCACAAATAGGGAAGGCTAGCTTCACCTAGACAAGAGCTGCCTGAGCAATCTCTCCTTCCAAGATCCTCAGTTCTCACAAAGAACCCAAGTTCTAAATTGATTGAGAGGGTGAGGAGACAATAAATTGGGGGAAGGAAGCAGGAGTGAGATTTCAGACTCACTGGTTAAGAGCACTGGCTGCTCTTACAGAGGACCCAGGTTCAATTTCCAGCACCCACATGATGACTAACAACCATCCATAACTCCAGTTCCAGGGGATCCAATGCCTTCATCTGACCTCTGAAGTCATTCCACAACATGGGGTATACTTACATGATGCAGGCAAAACACTCATACACATAAATACATAATTTTTTTTTACAAGCTTACTCTTTAACATATGTTGCCGTTGGCCCATAGGCAGTATGTGAAACCCAATTCAGATCCCATCTAAATGTCTACTTCCTCAGCTTCAAGCAGCAGGATTTCAGGAAAGTGAAGACAGGACTTAAGGGACTTTGAGTTGCTAGTTAGCATGTGAAAGTCACAAATAGGGAAGGCTAGCTTCACCTAGACAAGAGCTGCCTGAGCAATCTCTCCTTCCAAGATCCTCAGTTCTCACAAAGAACCCAAGTTCTAAATTGATTGAGAGGGTGAGGAGACAATAAATTGGGGGAAGGAAGCAGGAGTGAGATTTCAGAAATCAATTTCCCCAAACAAAGCACAGAACCAGAGTGTACCTAAAAGGCACAATGTTTTTCAGTTCCCACCACCCTTATTTTCTATGTTATGTTTTATGTCTGGTCCTTAAGCTAAATTCTCTTGGGGTTTTTGGTTTGTTTGTAAATTCAAAGAAATTGTAAGACATGACAGAGACAGTGTTCCTAAGAAGCATCCTCCTCTGACTTTAACATTGGTTCTGGAATCTGAGACCCTGTTGTAAAGAGACATAGGTACTAATAACAGGAGGCAGGGGGTGTCAAAGCAGTGCTAAGTATTTGAAGTATCTTCTCAGAACAGTGGAGAAATTTTTCCCAGAACACACTTCAATCATTAAATTCACACAGGAATGCTGCTGACTTTATTGAGTAGTATTTGATTGTTCTCATCAGAAATGGAAAAATAAACAAATGAAAAAAAAAAACGATTCCACTTGGTGACTTGGGTTGTATCTATCTAGCAAGATCACCTAGGAGACAGGTCAGTTTTATCAAAGGCTATTTCAATGAAGATCTAATTTACTGAATGACGAATTCAGCAAGTAGACTTGTTTGATGTGATTTTTGGCTTCATAACAGCATTAAAAGACTATTCAGGGCTGGAGAGATGGCTCAGCAGTTAAGAGCACTGGGTACTCTTGCAGAGGACCTGGGTTCGATTTCCAGCACCCACATGGTGACTAACAACCATCTGTAACTCTAGTTCCAGGGGATTCAACACCCTCTTCCTTCCTCTGCTGTGGGTACTGCATGACGTGGGTGCACTTAAATACATACAGGCAATACACTCATACACATGAAAAAAAATAAATCCAAAAAGTTAAAAGACTATTCAGTTTGCCACTACCTCAGTTCCTCATTGGAGTTTGAAGGACAGAAACAAGAAAAGCTGAGTGGGCACAATAAGAACATAATACTGAGCCTGAAGAATTCTTACCAGTGTATTCATTTTGCTTTTCACCTCAGTTTCCAGATACAGCATCATGAAATTAGAGCAGAAAAGAAAATGAATATTCTTCCAGAATATATAGCCTTTTTAAAAAGGCAAGCTCTCCCTATGAAGCCAAGGCTGGCTTGCATAAAACTCAGGACTCTCCTGACTTAGCATCCAGAGAGCTGGGATTACTAGTGTGTGTTACCACATCTAGCTCTAGAATATATGCTTTAAAAAATATACTTAATAGAGACAGGAGAGGTGGCTCAGTTGTTAAGAGCACTGGCTGCTCTTGCAGAGGACCCGGTTCCCAGCAGCCACATGGCAGCTAACAGCTATCTGTAACTCCAGTTACAGGAGATCTGACACCCTCTTCTGACCTCTGAGGGCACTGCATAACATGGGTGCACTTACATACATGCAGACAATACACTCATACACATAAAATAAAAATGATAAACAGGGCCGGGCATGGTGGTGTACTCCTTTAATCCCAGCACTCGGGAGGCAGAGGCAGGCGGATCTCTGTGAGTCCAAGGCCAGCCTGGTCTAGATAGGGAGTTCCAGAACAGCTGGGGCTACAGGGAGACCCTGTCTCAAAAAGACCAAAAAAATGATAAATATACTTTTCACTGTGAAGAAACATTATGGTCCCTTGGGTGTTCTCTCCTTACCTCTCAAACTTAAATAGCTACAGGAAGCTTGAGCAGTGACAAACTGAACATTCTTTACAGAGGTGTAATGAAAAACAAAATGACTCTGGGTCAACTAAAAACTAAATTTGTCATAAAATAAGTTAATTTAGTAAATTGGTTAGTGCAGCAAATTGATTCAGATTGGACTCTCTCCTCTGGACAAAGACAGAGTGCTTTTCTTTAGAATGAAAGGACATGAAATTGTCTTAGATGCAGACCTCTAAAATGGATTCCTAAGTAGAATCTAGTGAGAATACAAACCATAATAATAAAAATAAACAATTATTCCAGCTTTTAGATCAGAAGAATATATGAAAACTCTAGTAAATATACATATTAAGATTCCTAAAAAAATTCCTAAGGAATTTATGATGATTTAAGGTTTAATTTTATTCACTTCCTAGACCACAGCAAATTCTGCATGGTGGTACATAAAGCATTGGTTCATAACTCAAGAGTCAACACTAAAACAAAAATATGCTGAGAAGGCATTCATTTCTCACTTCTTCCTGACTGCAGATGCAAGGTGGCCAGATGCTTCAGGCTCCTGTAGCCTTGACTTCCTTGCCATGGTGGATTATACCTTGAACTATAAGCCAAACTAAACTTTCTCCTTTTAAAAATATGCTGAGAAAAGGGAGGGCATGGGGATATAGGGGGGCACATCGCTAACATATATACATATACAAAAGCTTGAAACATTTTTTTAAAAAATTAAAAAATGTGATCTGGGTGTGCTGCTGCATGCTTAAAATCCCAGCACTTTGAATGCTCCCATCACTTTGAATGCTGAGGCAGGAGGATTGATATGCATTCAAGACCAGTCTGGGCTACATACTGAATTTGATACCAGTCTAAGCAACATGGCAAGACTCTGTTTCAAGGGAAAACAGAAAGAAACAACAAAAAAAATCATATGTGAGCTGATGAGGGCCTGAGATAAGGAACAAACACGGTGGACCCAAATAAGTAGGACTAATTTCAATGAACACTGAGCTTCAATCACATGTTCAACACCGTCAGGCATGGTAGGAGATATCAAACTATTTCAATGGGCAATTTATAATCCAGTTAAAAAAGTATGCCTAATCTACAGTTGAAAACATAAATAATACGAAGCAATACATTATTTACAAGTGGTGATGAAAGTAGTTAAGTGCTTTCCTGTGAGTCAAGCATGTGCTAAATGCTCTTGATCTTGTCACACTACAAGGTATGAGGTATATGCTATTATTATCTCCATTCCCATACCACCTATATAAACCAGAACTGGAATTCAGTGCAATCTGAACTGATACCAAGTCTTAATCCTACTAAAGATATTGCTAGAATAAGAATCCAGAAATGGGTTAATCTAACAGGAAGGTATGCTGAGCAAAGATAGTCTTCAAGTTGATGAAATGGGTCAAACATACAGTAAGTTCATGGAGACTAGCAAAGAGGTCGTAGAAGTCTAGCTGTCCAATTGAATTCATAGGTGGGTCAGATTTTGGTAGACAATGAATACTAGACCAAAGATTGTGGACTGTAGGTAGCTAGTGGTCTCAAGAACTAATGGATACAAAGCTTCAAGTTATACTACTGTAAAAGAACTGCCAGGGTGGCCCAAGGGCTTGCGCGGAGGCCACGGGGACCAGGAATGTATTTGGAGGATCCCTTTTTGCCAGCTGTACAGTGAGTGCCTGCTCCACTATGGAGATTCCACTCCCAGTTGCGGCCAGGGCCAGGGCGGGGCTATGATGGCTTCCCTAAGAAGGACCCTCAGGCAGCCGCTGCAGACCAGACTCTTTCCTGTCTCGGTCTTTCTGGCGGTTGATTCAGGAGACGTTCTCACTGCAGCTCCAGAAAGCAGACTTGTCCTCTTCCGGGACCCGGGTTCTCCAAGCCTCGCGCAAGCTGCCCCATTTTCCTTCCCCCGCTTCAGGAGGCCACCAGGGTTCCGCTCCACTGCGGAGGCGGGCCAGGGGCGGGGCTACGAGCAGAACGTGCAACCCCTCTTCCCCCTCGCCCCTCAGGCCGGTCTCCCTAGGTTCCGCTCGAAGCAGGTCTGAGGGGTGGGGTCAGGGCACCAGGTGGCCGCTGCCGAAGGATTCTGTTCTTCCGGCCTCAGCTGGGGTTGGTGGTCTGGGGTTGGAGGAAGCTAAAGAACACAACTTGTTTCCCACCCAGAGCTGCGCATCTCGCTACTCTCTTGGGCCGTCTCCATTTTTCTTCCCCCCCTCAGGCCGCTACTTGGAGGGTTCCGCTCCGCACCGGGGGCGGAGCGAGTCAAGCTTGAGTGGGCTGCCTGGCAACTGGGAGCCACCTCCTAACTCCTTGTAGACAAAGCGGTCTCTCGAGTCATTTTCTCAAGCTAATGACTAGTGTTACCCGCTTGTCCTGCGTAGCAAGACTGGGATTTGGGATTTGGAACCATTAGGGGCGCTGCGGGCCTGGTCGAGGCGGGGCCGCGGGATGGCCGTCCCCCGTCTCCGCCCCCGCACCGCCCAGGGGTGCGAAACTCTGGTTGGTTTGCCTTACAATTATACTTTGCTTCTATAATTTTGAAAAGTCCTGACCTCCTCCCGCCTTGCCCAGTTCGGAGAACTGACTGAAGCTGTGTGTGTGTGGCTGGGGGGAGAACCAGGCTGGCTGGGCGGCTGCAGCCTCGGAGAACACCGCGGGACAAGTCTGGCCCTTCTACCCCGTGGACGAGATGCGGAGCAGGAGCAATTCTGGGGTCCGCCTGGACGGGTATGCGAGGCTGGTGCAGCAAACTATCCTGTGTTACCAGGTAAAGAGAGACCATCCCAAGCGAGTGCCCTAAACTGCCCTGTGCTATTACTCATTCACCCCCAGGCCTCTGTCCACACTTGTGACCTGCGAGCTTGCAATTAGTTAAGGGGTTTCCTACTTTAATGGAGTCTTTGCTAGCCAGTTATCACCTTGCTCTCCCGTTGTCATCCTAGTCTCTGTAGCCACAAGTAAAGTCAGCCTTTCTGATCTTTGAGCAGCTGCTGTGGCTGCTCTTTGCAGAATTCTTCAACCATTTTTTTTTTTTTTTTTTTTTTTTAGGATCATTATGAGCCCCCTCAGTGACCTGGCTACAAAATGCCTTCTTCTGTACTGACTGCTTCTTTCAGATGAAAGAAGCTTCTGTAGGTTGAACTGAGCACATTGAATGAAAATTATAAACTCCACTGTGGCTCCAGAAGTTTGCATCCCAGTAGAGTTTGGGCCACTGCCTAATGTCCCTCCCATGAGTTCCCTTGTTAAAGATCCACCTGAGAAGGCCTTATGGCCTACTCTGGTTGCTGCTTTACAGCTGACAAAATTTCTGAGCACACAGCAGCATTAAGTGGTCTTGTGACACTGTCAGTATGAGCTGAGGTATGAATATGCCTGGTATGCTTTGTACTTGACTAAAGTTATGTATGAGTCCCCAGTGTAAGACCACTGAACTATTTTTATTCCCAGTGAAGACATCAGCTATATTACTTGCCTTCAATCAACAACAACTATTTAGGGCTTTCAGAATCAAAGAAGGAAGTAGCAGTTGGTGGTTAGAGGCCTGGCCTACATATTGGGGAGCCATAGTCATTCTCAAACCACTGGCAGTTTTTTCTTCATAGCTAGTTTCTCAGCTTTGGCCTCTCATCCAGGAAATATTTATTGCATATATTTTATATACAAAGCGCTGTACAAAGTGTTGTGCTTATTTTAAAAAATGGATAAATAGTACTGCTGGTGGTGTGGTTCAGTGGTAAAACAGCTTACCTGGCATGCTTAGTGCCCTGGGTTGGATTCCAAGCACCACAAAAAAATAAAATAATGTAATAGTGCATATAGTGCAGTGACATTTATAAATAAGATACAGGTCCAGAGTCCCTTTTTTGAAACACTTTGGGGGACAGATGTGGTTTGCTAGCCAGGAATGTCTGGATTTTAGAATGTAATATGCATAAGGGGACAGAACCCCTTAATTACCCATTATTATTTCTATATCAGAATATTGATATTCACACTAAGACTAAAAGTTTGACATTACATCAGATCATTTTTTGCCACCAGAACAACTTTCTGCAAACTTAGGAAAACACTTTAAATTTTGAGAGCTTAGTGGCTTTTGAGGTCATTCATAAAGGATTGTAGTTGTTATTTGGAGAGCTTTGGAGAAAGATCCCAAGCCCAGTTTGGTGGGATAGGAGTTATGCAAGAAGTGACATTCAAGTTGAGAGCCGAAAAGGGAATAAGCAGATACAGGGAGGTTAATTTTGGCTTTTATTCTCAGAATATATTATAATTACAACTATAAAGTGTTTTAAGATCCAAATTGAAAAACTTTTCCCTTCATTACTGTGATAAAAGTGGTTGTAAGAACTGATAAATCTCAATTTTTGTGTCAGACCTGGGTTTGAATACCCAATTCTGCCTTGAACAAAATGTGTAACCTTTGTTCATCCTCTTTTTTTTTTT